ACTTGACCCAATGCTGGGTATAGGCCTCCAAGTTTCTGTGCCACTCCTCACGATCCCGTGCTAATCTCATCCATGTTCGCCCTTGTCTTCTTCGTTTAGTCCTTGGACGCTCCACTTTGCAGTGTCAACAGAATCCCGATTGATATTAAACATTTTAATGGTAATCAATCCAAGGCGCATTTAAAGAATTGACAAATTGATTTTCTATAATTTAAGTGAATTTTTCACCGACTTCAAAAACGGATGAGGTTCTCAATTCGACCGTATGTTTTTTTTTTGTATGTATGTTACGCGATAACTCCGGTATTTGTGAATCGATTTTCATTATTCTTTTTTTGTTGAAAAGAGAGTATCTCCATAGTGGTTCCATTTAATTTTGAAGAAAATCATCCACCTCTAAGGGTGGTTGTTCACGCATGAAGATTTATTTTTATAAACAGCGCCTAAATATTGTTATAAGCAGCAATTATTTTAATTGTTAATTTTGCTATTCTCCAATTCAAGGCGTTTTTCTCTCTCGATATACTTTGAGAAGTGAGAACCGATTTTTATTATATTTTAATGGCGAACTAGGGGATGAATCCGGGTTTGCGAACTACCCGATAACCGATTTCAATAAAACATGGTAATTATATGTAATTCCACGTACTTTTGAGGTCGGTTTTTTAAGTACTCTGTAATGAGATTATATAAAGTGATGTCTAATGTATTTTTTTTTGTTTTTTGGACATTTAAATTTATAGTATATCTTAATTTAATTTTAATGACTGTAATTTTAAGACGTATACGCCCAATTTGGGCACGAACTGCGAAACAAATGTATGCATACATATGTAACGTCTTAATCTACCAGTTCATACAATAAATGTTTCTGATTCCTGATTTCGAGCTTCGTAATGCGGTTCCTCACGTCCTTTACCTTTGTTCAAATTTATCAAGGGCTTTTTCGGTGAAGGAAAACATCGTGTGGATTTCTGCACACATCTGCAAAGCAATTTTATTATATGTGTGAAGTTGTCAATCCACATTGGGACCGCGTGGGAACTGCAGCCCAAGACTCTTATCGTGAGAGGAGGCCTATGCTCAGCAGTGGAACTATTATATAGGCCATGTAATTATAATATTTATAATATGTTTTTGAAAAAGTCCTTCTTAGTTTAAAATAAGCACAGTAATGATTTATAAAGTAACCGACTGTACTTTAACATTTGTAATTTTGTACATTGCTTTTTATGATGTATTTCACAATGAAAACATTATAACTCACTTTTTACTGAGTGTCTTTGAATGCCTTCTTATTGGCATAAGGAACGAAACAACTGTTAAATTATTATTACGCGGTAATGTTATTATTATTCACTGTAAAAATAACAAGAACTCGTGTCTTGCACGAGCGAGTGAGAGTTTCGTAGTATACATATAAATTTTAGAAGCCATCATTTTGGTGGCGCAATGTTTTTGCGTTAATCAAATTGTCCATAAGGCAGCTATTAATAGGCAATACTTTAGTAAAAAAAAGTTACTTTGACCAAATTTTGCCACTAAAATTAATACGACGCCACAGTAATGTCGACAGACACTTTTAATAATCTCAGTATAGAGTACTAAAAAAATCGCCCTCTAAAGTCATTCATCTCCTAGTTTGCCACTCTTAGAGGTGAAACATTTTATTCAAATTGAAATGGGACCATTTCTGAGGTACCCTCTTTTCAACAAAATAAGAATCACCAAAATCGGTTCTCAAATTATCGCGTAACATACATATTAAAAAAAACAAACAGGCGAATCGGGAACCTCCTCCTTTTTTGAAGTCGGTTAAAAAGTTGTGTGCTGTTTCTGTAAAAAGTTTTCGGAAAAAGTACTTTCCTTCACAATTTCCCGTTAAGGCGAGTGACTGGAGGAAATGCGAAGAAAAATGTTTTGTTAGATCAAATGTTAAAAAATAAAAGTTTAAGGGAATGACGTTTAGTATACCAGTTTCAAAGTAGCGTAATAGCTTTAGGTCAATCAAGCATTGTTTAAGCTAAGCATTTAATATTAAAAATGCAAGGTGGCTCGAATTATGTGTCCGTGAGTATATTTTGCTATGGACCTCTATTCTTCGAAAAGCTGCAACATATTGTAATATGCTAGGCGTACAGGGAACGAAAAAGGTAACCATTATTAGCGCTTCAGTGTGTGCGAAACTGAACATAATTTACATTCCCATAAGGTAGAATTTACAATGTACTTGTAAAAGGTAACAAAAAGAAATTGTAAATCTGTTTACTCCTTAAGTCAGAAATTCCCTTAACATAAATTGGTTCTATAGGCAATCAAAACGACAATAAACGTCTTATATACCTGAATCACCGAAATCAAACATGAAGATGTAAAATTTTATTTAGTTTTATATAATATGTTTTTTATATTATATTCAATTATCTTTTGTAAAATTACTCCACTACTTTGTTATAATCATACAAAATCGAACGCTAAAAAAAATTCCTTCAGCTACATTTGAACCAACGCCTTCAGTATGCCGCGCCTGACGCTCTCCCAACTGAGCTACGAAACGTATCAGCAGATCTGACGAATCTTTCTGTACTGTTGATGATTTTTGTTTTTGGTTTTTAACAACTTTTTTGCCATAGCGCCATCTGTGTGAAATCTATGAAAGTTTTTCTTCACACAGTCAGGTATCTTTACAGCTACCAGCGGCTGATAGAGATGTCGCATTAAGAATTGTAATATTAAGTTCATTGAATGTCACGAGTTTTACTACCTATATTATTTAAGATATTCAATTAGTATTAGTTTGTTATAATTTTTACTATAGCCAGACTGCCAGACTACATTGACGTCAGATGTTGGCCAAGATCGAGAGCATTGGGAAAAGAGGGGGGAGGTTTTTGCCAGTGTTAGGACAAAACGGATTTATAAAAAATAATATAATATATAAAAACATTAATAAATAGATTTAACATTAAGAAAAACTCAGTCTATCCGGCTGCATTCGAATTAGTGCCTTCAGCATACCGTGCCTGTTTTATATATTTTAAAGATTGTTATTTCAACGATGCTTCTCGTCATTCATTACATTATCAAACATTGTCCAGCCAGAAAGTATAATACCATCACACTAAGGAAATCCCTGTATAATAATATAAACACAAAACCACTTACTATTTTATTGTTCGTTAAAAAATGTCAACGTGTACAACATGACAAGTATCATGTTGTGCACATGACATCATTGTCATAATATGCATTTACGTACTAAATAGTTCGACCAACGATTATTACCTGATTTCTCACCACGAATTGACTTTTGTGTAATCTATCTATGTACTTATATTAGTGCAAAACTAGCCAATATCTTATTGTTCCCTAAAATATGTCAATACTCTGGACGAACTCTTTCACAAGGAGCTCTATTGCTGCTTAATATCTATCGGCGGGGAACTGTTTGCTTACCAATGTTATTTTAATTTATATTATGTTGTAGTATAAGCTGTTTGTGTCTATTATAAAATAAATAAATAAATAAAATAAATACATAGAAATCAAAAAGAAAACCGACCTCAAAAGTTCGTGGAATTACATCTATTTGCCAAGTTGTATTGAAATCGGTTACCGGAAAGCGAGTGAAACCGATTTCATCCCCTAGTTGGACACCCTTATATGTGAAATATCTTCTTCAAATTTAAATGGGACCAATACTGGGATACTCTCATTCCAAAAAAAACAAACATCAAAATACATGTAATCGCGTCACATACACAAATACAACACAGTCGAATTGAGAAACTCCTCCTTTTTTGAAGTCGGTTAAAAAGAGAAAGATCGCTTTTTAACCAGCTGAACGGATGTTCATCAAACATAGATGAAATTAACCTCCAATAAACAAAAACTACTTTGAAATTCGTCCATCCGTTTAGGAGCTACGATGCCACAGCAGACAGACATACATACATACATATAATAAAAAATAAACACTTATTAGTTGTAATCCCCTAAAACCCATAAAAATATACATCTTTTCAGGAAAGCAACGTTTGCTCTTTTTATTTAACAACCGCACCAATATCTTTTAGTGTTGCCATATTATTTATTTTTTTATTGATTATACCCAAATCGCATCGGTAACTTATTTTTTGAGTCTGATAGTTATTGCAAGCAACAACAAGCATTTCAAATCAAATAACCGATTACACATCTTTTGCTAACACATACACATACAGAGATATACAGGCAACGGTTTCAAACTTCTGTCTTTTTTACGTTGGGTTTTAAACATTCGTTTGCGGTAATTTTATAATTAATTGAACAAATGTGTTGCTCCGACTGCGGCATGGGTTGCTTTTGAGGAGAAAGTTCAGTTTTCCATGGGTTGTTTCATCACGATGTTTTCCTAACCGTATTTCCACTAAATTTTCACAATTTAAATAGTAAAATCATGTAGGTACATACATGCCCACCACACGGATTCAAACCGTCGACCTCTAAATTGAGAAACCACCTTACTCCCACTACGCTACCAACGCTCTTAAACGTAAATAATTTGTTATTTTACGATTGGAATGATGGGAAATAAACAACTTACAAATTTCAATAACAAACTTTTATTTTATTGTTTATTCAATATTGTAACACAAAATTCAGCTAACTAAAGTTTACAATAGATATATCTACTTTTGTAATTTAAATTGGACTTCATCTGACATTATACAAGAGACACCAGTCATGCATTATTTCAAGGGAATAACATTGCATTGTAAGTCATGTATACCGTGTAGGTATTGAGCGTCGATGGAAGTACAAATTTACGCATCGTTTACCCTACTGCAGTATGGCCTTAACATTCCGGATTTTACAAATTACGAAATAATTTAAACTTCATGCAGTGGGCTCCGTAGATATTCTCATAAAATCGTTAGTCCGAACCTTCGCAGTTGATCACGTCCTAGTTTTAAAGTGGCTGCTTCTAAAGTAGTGCGTGGACGAGTGCACCGCCATAGAGCGCGTTTTGTAGAACGGATTAGCAGAGCTCAGCGTTGCGTGAAAAGCAGGCTTCACATTGGCACAGACCTATCCGAATTTATGCAACCAAAAATGAGAAAGAACTCGTTTCATTTTACATAAGCGCCGCGTGTAGCCACAGGGGTCAGCGGCAGTATGTCTCTGGGTTTCGATACGGCTGCCGCCTTTGTTTTCGTAACTATTTATCGAGCAGTCGTACAGACAGTGCGTGTGGGTAGCGCAATGTGTGAAAGACATGTTATGGTTTTCGCGTTTGTGGCGATAGCTGCGTTCTTCCTGACAGCAGAGGCGAAACTTGCGCGTGAGTTTTCTTGATATTACTTTTTTTTTTTTCAAATAATTATAGTTGTAAACTAACAAAGTTTTAAATTCGTATTTTATTTTAAATGTAATTAATACTTAAATTATAATATCCACATTTGCTAAAACATGTTCAATGTTTTTAGCAATACCTTAATTTACGTAAGCAATTGAATGTTGCCAAATAATTAACGCAGTTAACTTCGTCCGAATCGTTTCGAGTAATATCATATCGATTGATTTTTGCAATACAAAATATTTCGTATGCGAAAATTTTGCATAAAAAGTAGGAGGTGATGATTAAATGAAGGAGAAATCGTGACAATCAATCATTAAGTAGCAAATTAGTACCACCTTCGTAATAGGTAATACCGGGCTGCTCATCCGGGAACATCAGCTGATGTCCGGTCCACTTCGCAGGTTCATTCGTGAGTCACAAACTCAACGATTTAGCACAACGAATTATAGATATTACATACATCCTCGTGATTTCATGTTCATTATTTTATAATGATCCAAATTAGAATCTAAATGCTAGGATAAATAAACGCGCCAAATGGAGTAACTGACTTTAAAATACGTAAGAAGTTTAGTTTAAATATCGTAATTAACCCGAAATAAAGATGCCGATTAGCGAAGATATTCCTTTTTTATTTTATTTTTTCATAATACCAAGTGACGGAACCTACAAGTCGCGCGCCTGGTGGAAAGCGATACGCCTATCCATAACATTGCAGTGCCGCTCAGAGCTTTAAATCGCAAACATCCGAGGGACACTACCACTGCGCCCGTTACCCAGATACATAAGTTGTTAAGTCCCATGTGCTTGTAATTTCACCAGCAACCCTCACCATTCAAAACCAGAACACAGTAATGCTCACAAAATTGCCTGGCGGAAGAAATATATAAGGTGACAGCATTTCCCAGGACGAACTCTTTCACAAAGAGTTCTACTGCTACTAAATCCTATAATACAAATCTCACATAGGTTTTTATACGATACCAAGTGAAGGGCCGAACAACAAATGTTTAAATCGCAAAGAACTGACAGGCATTGCCACTCCAGCCTGACTGACTCCAACTTTATAGTTGACGAGTCTCGTAGACCCTATAGTTTGAATCACATGAATCAGAACTATAAACGTGATGCAAATAAATTTAACGAGATCGTGATTACGAAAAAAATGAACCAATTACTTAAATTCTTAATAAACATCGCCACAAATCTTCACAGCCTGAAGAAAATTGAAACTTATAATCGGGTTCGTTGATTTGCACTAGACTGCACGAGTACTGATAAAGCTTTTCTTGTATAATATTTGTTTCATCCGCTACCCTGAGGTTGTCTAATAGTAATTAATGGAAGCATTCAATCCAGTTGAACATGTTCTTAATTTGTTTTCATGTATTCATTGTTCTATTTCCTGTAATATGCAATAATACCTATTTGTTATGCAAGGCTGTAAAGTTGTTGTTTGAGGCGAGTGCTTATTGAAACCTGAGCAAGCAAAGGAGTTTAAGATTGAACGACGAGTGAAGCGAGTGGTTCAAAAATAGAATCCTGAGCGAAGCGAGGGTTTCAAGGCACGAGACGCGAAACAACTTCTCACCTCACTATAGGGAGGAAAAAGGCAGATGAAAGAAAAACAGTTGAAATATAACAAATCAGTTTTATTATACAAAATTGGTCATCGTTGTCAATTTAATGTCATATATACTACATAAGTAATGTTCGACAAATCGCGTAAGTGAACGTGTCATTATGATGTTTTTTTTCACCGAAAGAAAAAGTTAGGTGCACCACAGTCCATTGTCAAGTTCGAATTTCAAAAACGCTTTTGCACGCAGATTTCTAATGAGAAAGAAAGCCTTTCCGAGCTAGTGAGGTGAAAATTATAATTTTTCACTCAGCACCGATACGCTTTTTAAAGTCCAGTCTGATCGTTGGATTTTTTTTTTTGTGTTTGTTTGATCGATGAATTTGGTTTGGGTGTTATGGGAAGTGCCCATGGGGCAAAGTTTAGTTGTAACTCCAACATGCGTTTTATTCTTCTTTGTAGTTTAACTACATCTATAAAGCCTTGTGGTGAGTATATGTCTTGTAATACTTAATTTTCCAATTAACGACTTTCTTCTAACTTCTATTCACTTTTCACTTCTCATTTTGATTCGATTTGATTTTTTCTATCGCACAGTTAATTCCGCTGAAATCTGCTGTCTAGTTTTATCTGCGATAATTCGGCGGATTTTATTACAGTCATAATGGCACATTATTTTGACGTAACAGATAGTTTACTTCTGCTGCAAAGCAACTATTCTTTCTTTTGGTGTACGGCCATTAGCAAAATCCCGTTCTCGTTTATCTGTTCTTGACTTGCATATGAAATTTCGTCAAAAAGTGCTCTCTTTCTTTAACTGGACATTGACGTCGTTCGCCATAATGATTATATTATTTTTGTAAAACTACACACAAAACTGCATACTCATTTTTAAACTTGGCATTGGCAGAATCATTGTAGAAGTCGATGGAGTCATTGTAAAGAAATTGGAATTTTAATTAACAAAGCGCCCAAAGATTAAGTTCTTCCCCAGTCTCTCGTCTAGAAGCCAAAATATATAAAAATAAAAATCTACTCTTTTAGTCTGAGATTTATAAATCGAACTTATAGTTCGGCTAACTAAAACTTTTTCCAACTCTTAAATTTCTATCCTAAGGTTGCCTGCAAAAAATTGCAACTTAGCAATAACGCGGCCTGTTGTACGTTAGCTTACTCTGTGATACTTACATTATTGTTCTGTGTTGTCACTTCACATTCACATTCATTCATTCATTCAAAAATGACGAGCTAAGCGAGTGTTTAATTTTGATTAATCAAAGTCAAACTTCGTTTTAAAATCTCAGCCTTAAAATCTCAAAGCCAATAACTTGATATAAGCCCTTAGGTACGCGTTGATTTACCCTGAGGAAGTCCTAAAAGTTGTTGCATATCAGTTGATACGTACTCATACGAGTTGTCACGCACTAGTTTATGGGTACCAACCTACCTTGGCTTTCGAATAGCTCTGCGTACGGACTACGTATATACGTAGGTACTGCGTATCATCATCACAGTGACAGAGAGATCATCGACCATATGGTCGCTCGTCTCTGTCACTCACTACTTGAAATCCTGAGTCACCTTATTACGGTGTATGCCGGCACTAGCTGCATCTCTTGTTCAACTTCGAGTTACAACTTGAGCAAGTGGCCTCTATTCGTACACTCTTATTTGCTCTTCTTCCCTTCTACCCTGTTACTCAGGTTAGCCTTCATCATCATCATCTCAGCCCGTTAACACCCCCTGCTGGGTATAGGCCTCCTCTTTTGCACGCCAGCTCAATCGACCCCGACAATATCGTCCGACCATCTAGCAGGTGGTCTGCCTCGTAAAAAAGAAGGCTCGATCCACATAAATTTATTACAAGAGGAAAAGAAACGCTGTAACAAATAATACAGTGATATTAAAAAGGTACAACAATATAAAACAATCCCTACAAGCACTAAGCAGTCGAAAGTCCAAGTGCTTACCCCAAGGGGGTCTATATGCGTATATATATCTAATGCTTTATAAACAGTTTAAGTAGAATTAAAGTTATGCATGATGATAAAGAAGCACGCGCTCTCGCTTCGAGGTTTTGATGAGAATGGTGACGAACAAACCAAAGTAAAAATAATGAAGGAAAAGGAATTCGAGAACGATTCAAAATTATCTTAGTAAGGGCCAGTAACCTGTAAAGAGGGTGATAAAAATGTGGGATGATGATGAAGGAGATCGTTATTCGTCGAGACGAATATTACCTATTTAGTTTTAAAGCGACTGTGTTGTCCAGTCACTTTGAAATTAAATCGTATATGAATGACACATAAATATAGCGAAATTTTGGAGATAAATTATTAATATAACGCAATTTTGAGATAAAATAGAACATTACACAATATTTGAGATAATACTATGTTAGTTGTCATGTGCGATGTATTCCCTTTATTGCTTGACGGCCTCAGTGGTCGAGTGGCTTGCACACCGGTTTTCATGATGTCGCCATCTTTAAGGTCCCGGGTTCGATCCCCGGCCGATTCAGTGTAGAAAACTAACTTTTCTATATTGTCTCGAGTCTGGGTGTTTGTAGTTTCGTCGTTGTTTCCGATTTCCATAACACAAGTGCTTTAGCTACTTACTTTGGAATCAAAGCAACGTATGTGATGTTGTCTATTATTTATTATTATTTATTATTATTATTATTGCTTTATTTTATGATACTTCTGAACTTAGATTCCTCTTGATCAGAGTCGCATGACATACTACTGTAGGCTTGTAGGTTAATTTAAGTTTATAAGTTTGTCATTGAATAACAGTCTGATAACTAGTTTTGTTCTGTATAAATATTTTTAATTTAATATTTGGTGTTTCTTGATTTAATGCCATGTAATTATAATATAAACCAATTAAAAAAACATGAAATGTACTTTGTAGTTGCAATTCATTGATGTCTCAGGGGCACTACCTAGAATGCCCAAACCAGTACTGAGAACCGAATCCGAAACATCCTCGTATAGCGCCCAAAGTACTAATCGGCTTCCGAGGTCGTCTTTTAAATTTAACAAATCACAATGCAGCCTTTCATATTAGTTAATAAATATTTCTTCCTAAAGACTCCAAAACACCGGCAAGATATTTTTTATATGATGCCAAGTGACAGAACGAACAAGTCGTTAACCTGGAGGTAAGCGACACGCCTGTCAATAAGAGTTGCAGTGCCACTCAGAGCTTTAAAACACAAAGGTTTATGAGCCACTGAGCTCGTCACCTTGAGAAATCGTAAGTTCACAAGTCCGATGTGCCTGTAATTTCAGAGGAACCAAACCGGATCGCATTAATGCTCAAAATACTGCTTGGTGGCAGACATAGGTAAGGTAGTATATAAGTTCTTCCCTGGGCTAACTCTTTCACAAGGAGCTCTACA